CTGAATTATACTTTTCCATAATCCCCTCAGTGGCCCACACAGTGCAGGCCACATCAAGGGAGTGTCAAAAATATTCACTGAATTACCTAAAAGCTGACAGCCCACCCCCCCAGGCCTTATCGCCAAATGGCAGAGTCCTGTCTGAAATCACTCATTGCCCCAGAGTTAGCAGGTGCTTTTGAAGTTCCAAACGGGGAGACTAGGAACCGATGTGCTCCACCCTAGGAGGGGAGATGGAGGGAAACTTTCTGGTGTGCACCAGACTTGATCAGAAGATGTGGTTGAAGCCCTGGCTCTGCTCCCATTTGTTTTTGTTTCCTTTGATGAGTCTCTGACCTTCTCTGTTTCCTCCTCTGCAAACAGAGGCAATAACAACCACCCCACAAAGTGGTTATGAGAATTCATTCATTCAACAATAAAAATCGAATGTCTGTATGTCCTAGAGGTATTCAGTCTTGAACAAACCAAATATGATTCCACCCTCATGAAGCCAACAAGAGAATGTAGGAGAAGCACATTTGAACAATGTAAGGTTTTATTTTTATTGCTTGACTTAAAAAGGAAGATTTGTCGATCCTTAGGACCACTTTGCAATTCTACTGCCAGAGCAAACATTTGCTTCAGTCATTAAGAAAGCATTTATTAAGTACCTAATACAATAAGAAAATAAAGGAGAAGCTCGGCTTTTGTCTTTGAGAAGTTTACTATGCATTTGAGGGAAAAAGCTGTTAAATCCTTGATGGCAGGAATCATGCCTGATTTTGTTGATTCAATAGATATCACTGAGTGCATAGTATGTGCCAGGCATGGTACCTCTTACGTATTATTCTCACTACCCAGAATAGTGATAGGCACATAGTAGGGAGTCTTCAGAGTCTAGAAGTCATCAAAGAGGGCTGAGGTCAATTTGAGAAGACTTCTCTATTTCTGCTTCGATCTGTGGGGTCAGAGGAAGAGGTCCTGCCTGTGAGTTTATGCTCTGAAATGGTTTTCTTTGAAAACATTGGTTGTTTAGTGAGACAACACCAACATAGAGAATACTAGATTAGGAACGTAGATTCCTGAGTTTTATTTCTAGTGCTGTAAAGACATGAAATGATTCATGCTCTTTATACACAAAATCCTTCCTCTGGCCCTTTCCTTCTTACTCAAGCTCCATGGTACCAAACAAGTTCCCTGGTGACCCCTCAAATTTTTGTCTTGTCCCAGGATATGAAACACCGAAAGACAACGTTGAAAATCTTGGTGTGAAGAACCCTCACAGTTGGAAACTGTTCTCTTCTGGATTCTAGCAACAACCTCTCTTTGCCTTGGGGATTTCAGAACTTGTGTCAGTTGGAAGGGAGTCCCTCAGTGGCACAAACGGTTAAGCGCTAGGTTACCAACCTAAAGGTTGAAGGGTCGACTCTACCCAGAGGTGCCTTGGAAGAAAGTCCTGGCAATCTACTTCCAAAAAATCAGCCACTGAAAACTGTATAGAGTACAGCTCAACTCTGAAACGCATGGGTTGCCATCAGTTGGAATCAACTCAGAAACAACTGGTTTTGTTTTGGTTTACTTTATCAGTTGCAAAGGGCTGTAAAACACAATTATCCTGTGGCCTGGCCCTTTGGAGATCTCTTATCTAATGAGACCCATCCTGATCCCCTAAGCCAGATTCAGGCTTCTGCCATACGTTTCCATAGCACCCTGTACTTCTTTAATGTTAACACACATCATGATTTATTGCAATTACATGTTTAGTGTCTCCTCTTGCTAAAGGGAAATAAAGGCAATTAAGCTCTGTAAAGGCAAAGATTCCTTGTTTGTCTGTTTAACTGCTGTATTCTCAGTGCCACAGGTCCCTAGGGGGCACAAATACTTTGCCCCTGACTACCAACCCAAAGGTTGGTGGTTTGAACTCACCCAGCGGTGCCACAGAAGAAAGGCCTGGCAATCTTCTTCTGTAAAGATTACAGACAGCAGTTCTACCCTGTAACACATGGGGTTCCCATGAGTCAGACCTGACTCTACAGCAACAGGCTTTTTTTTTTTTTTCCTCAGTGCCTGACACCTGGTAACCACTCGAGAGATTATTAAATGAATGAATGAAAGGGGAGGACATTCTAGGCAGAGGGAACACGAGGAGCCAAGCAAAGAGGTGAGAAGTTGTGAGATGTGTGTATGTGTATGGGGAATTGTTTCACTTAGTTATTGAGTATGCGAAGGGGAACAGTGGGAAAAAAGATAGGATGAGGCTGTGCTGTGGAGGTTCTCAAATGACAAGTAAAGAATTTGAACTTTGTAAATGGTAGAGAGATGGCAAAGATTACAACTAAAACAGGGAAGTATATTTATATTGCCATTGTATTTGATAGAATTTATTCATGGCAGGGGCAGCTTCCTCTGCCCCTCCTAGCACACTTCCTGCCAACAAATGGATACTAATCTACAAAGTGTTTTATATGCTATACACCCAGTATCTAATGTACAAGTTTCTTGGGCTGAGGTTGAGAGGGCCCAAGGGGAGCCAACGTGGCTGGGAAACTGACTTCAGCCAGGGACCTTTTACATTATAAGCAGAGCAGCTGGTAGGTACATGGGAACAATTTAAAGTTTCTGTGCCCTTGCCTGAGTGTCAGCCAGGGAGTCATAGATGAAAGGACCTTTACCCTGTTTCCAGCTGCTCAGGCCCAGGGGGTTCTGCCCAACTGCCCCTCCTCCGCAGCTGGTTTCTGTTGTTCCCTCCCAATGAGGCACCCTCCCTAATACTACCCTGATTTTCCAAGATGTTCCTTTCGTGTCCCTGTGCAAGGTACTTCTTCCAGGTGGGAGACCTTGGACCATAAACGAGGGAGTCTGTACCACGCTTCTTGGTAGACCCGACCAAAGCCACATTCTTTGGTGGAACCATTTTTATACTTTCAATTTTTTTATGAATTCATACTTTTGTACTTCTAAGAAAGGAGTGACAGAGTCAGAAGATCGAGGGAAAAATCTGTGGGGGTTGAAGAGAGTTTGGAAAACTTGCCCAGCATCCTGGAAGAACAGGACACTTATTTCTCTTTTTCTTTTTGCTTCCTTTTTATTTCCATTTGGTTTCCCTCTCATTTCCTCTCCTTCTGCTCCTCCACCAGTTTCTCTTTTCTCCTTTGTGGTGCACCGCTCTGTACATTATGCTTTCTCTTTCTCTCTCTTTCCTTCCCACCAGTCTCCTTGCTTATACTGGCTATCTTTTAGTCAGTTCTTATGTGCTGAGTATTGTGCTATGTGTCTTTTATATATCAGCTCATAAAGCTCTGTGAGCTAAATAATAGTATCCCCATTTTGCAGATGAGGAAATTGAGACACAGATGAAGTAATTTAGCTGACCTCAGGCAAATAAAAACAGATTTGAACTCTGGTTGAACTCCCAAGTCCATCTTCTCTTAACCATTGTTGTTGTTACTTGTCCTTGGCTCCCACTCATGGAAGTTCCATGTACAACAGAACGAAACGCTGCCCGGTCCTGCAACATGTACACGATGCTTAAGTCCATTGCTGCAGCCACTGTATTTTGAGTACCTTCTAACCTAGGGGGCTCATCTTCCAGCACTATATCAGACAAAATTCTATTGCAGTCCACTGGGGTTTTCACCGCCTAATTTTCAGAAGTAGATCTCTAGGCTTTTCTTCCTAGTCTGTCCTAGTCTGGAAGCTCAGCTGAAACCTGTCTGCCATGGGTGACCCTGCTGGTATTTGAAATACTGGTGGCATAGCTGCCAACATCATAGCAACATGCAAGCTACCACAGTACAAAGAGCTGACAGACTGACCATTACATAGTGTCTTTTTCTCCATTTCCAACTCCTCCCTGTCTTTTCCCTCTTTCTGCTCCTCCTCTCCCCTCCTTCCTCTCTCATTGTACTCCTCCTCCCTTCACCCTCCCACTTTCTTTCAAACACTCACCACAGTCCAGGCCCTGCATGTGTGTGGCTGACCCTGAAGGTGCTGAATATTGTGCATGAACACAGAAGGGATGACAGACCATTCAAACACATATCTAATCAGTTATTTTCCTTTTGAACAAATGTGCCACAATTTTCTACACTTGGAGGCTGGGCAGGGAAGGAGGAGACCCTTCACCATCTGAGGAAAAGGGGCAGATGTCTGATCACAGATTAGAGGACGGGCTCAAGCCTGCATGGGTCTTTGATATGGAGGGAGGCAGAGATAAAGCCCTTCCTGATAACTCATGGACTCCCTCATTCTCAGGGACTCAGTGACTTTCAGGGTTGGGGAGCTGGAAGCTGAGAGAAGACAGGGCCAGGAGGTTGGTCTCTGCCAAGGCATCAACTCATGAGCCAAGGAAGCCTGGAATATGAAATGTGATACTTCTGCCCTGTCTTTCCCCATAACATCCCAATAGGAACCAGGGGCATGTTGACAGCAAAGATGTGAAGGTCAAAGTTTGAACCTGACAACCTCTAAGAGCCCTTCTGAATCTGAAGTTTTATGATTCTAGGAAGGGAATATTTATGTTCCGTTCTCTCCTATCTTTTTGTCATCCTGTTATTAGGATTAGCTAGAGGTTTAAGCCTTAAGGATATTTATTGTTCGCCAAGTAAGAATTCTGGAGGGAAGAGATTCAAGAGTTGATTCAGAGGTCTCAGGGCACTGGTTGGCATTTCTGAGATTCTCAAGACAGCTTCAGACATTTTGGCTCACACAGCCTTGTTCACAGGCAGGAAGTAGTCGAGAGTGGGGAAGACTGCAAGTGAGGCTCCTCTCCTATTATTGAGGGATAGAAAAGTCTGCCCAGAGCATTCCCTCTATACTAAACTCTCCCCTTACCTCATTGACTAGAACTACCTGCAGTGGAGACTGAGAAAGTGCTATCTGGCTTTTTCACCATGCTAATGGGAAGCGGCAAGGAATACCATACCAAACCACTACCATTGAGTTGATTCTGACTCATGGTGACCCCATGTGTTTCAGAGTAGAACTGTTCTGTAAGGTTGTCTTGGCTGTAATCTTTACAGAAGCAAATAGCCAGGCCTTTCTTCTGCTGCGCCACTGGCTGGGTTCAAACTGCCAACCCTTAGGTTAGTAGTCGAGTGCAAATGTTTGCACCACTCAGAGAAATTGGTAATAACCACTGTCTTCCACCCCTCCTTCATTCATTCAACTAAGATTTACTGAGCACCTTCTCTGGGCCGGGCTCTGGGCCAGGTGGATGCTGATAAAAAGGAAAGAGATGGTCCCTGTTCTCTAGGAGCCCCTACTGGAAGAACACAGATAGGCAGAGGATTACAACACAAGATAGCAAGTGCTGGGAGAGGAGTGAGTGTACCCAGAGCCCCCACAGGAGCTGTAGAGGCTCAGCCGGAGGAAGCGGGGAGGGCTGAAGGAAGTGAGGACTGGGTTATGTTTTGAAGGTTACGTTTGACTGGGTTATGGTACTCAGCTAGGGATGAGGGGGCATGTAGGAGGTAGTTGGGAGAAGGGCATTGGGGAATCTGCCAGGTCTTAGCATGGCTGGACCAAGAGTATTAATGGGGATGGGCAGTAAACGAGGCTGAAGAAATAGGCAAAGGCCAGCTAGAGATAGTTTTGTACGGGGCATAAAGGTTTGGGGCATTTATTCTGGACATGAGGGTGAGCGGGTCTCTGTGTGTACCTTCTGTAGACAGAACACTTAGCATCAGGACAGCTTAGCTGGAGAGAAGAGGCTGTACAGACCCACATCAGTCATATGGTTGGAGTTGTTCCACTGCACTGAGGCATGGGGGATTGGCATAGCCTGACCCTTACCAACTGGGGGAACTTGAGCACTAATCGTGATACCTTTGGCTGGTGTGACCCAGCCATGTGTTTGTTCACCATCTTCCAACACAGCTGGTCTAGGCTGGATGGTTCTGATTGTTAGAGTGCTTCCTGGGGAAGGGGGTGAGGTCAAAGTTGTCACCCTCTATCCTCAATCCTTCCTCCTTCCACCTGGTTCTGCCCCTTGGGGGGGTGATAAAATTCCTTTTCTATCTGAGCCATTCAAACATACGGAAACATTTGTGGTATATGATTTTCAGCATATCACATACGTTATCTCATTTAATCCTCAAATTCTCTGGTGTAGCTATTCCCCTCATCACTTTACAGATGAGGAAACAGACTCAGTGAGGCAAATGCCAAGTCACGTTTGCAGACTCCAATCTTGTGTTCTTTCCACTACTCCAGGATTTCTCTACATGTGGCCCTTGGACTGCCTGTATCAGAAGCACCTGGACTGCTTGTTGCAAATCCAGATTCCTGGGGGCCAACCCAGGCCTCCTGAAGTAGAATCTCTGGGGGGATTGTTGTTGTTGTTGTTGTTAGTTGCCATCCACTTGGCTCTAACTCATGGCAAACCTGTGCAAAACAGAACAAAGCATTGCCCAGGCCTGCACCGTCTTTTGGGGTAAGAGCACAGAATTCATGTTGTAACACACACCTCAGCTGATTTCTAGGTCCATTACAGTGTGAGAACTGTGATCTAATCTTACTAACATGTCCACCTTGAATCTTCTCTTGCTTTTTATTTTTTTCTGAAAAAAAGAAAGAAAGAGCTTTTTGGGTACATCTACCTTGTAAATTGCTCCTTCTTAAAGAACACAGTGGTACGGATCAGTGGAATCCCAAAGCCTGATGGGACCTTGGAGACCTTTGCAGAAACCTCCCTCTTGCACTTTCTCTCTCCCCTGTTTGCAGAAGTCTTAACATCTGTTCCCTGGCTGAGCCGAGATGGGCGACTGGAGCTTCCTGGGAGAGTTCCTGGAGGAAGTCCACAAGCACTCCACGGTGATTGGCAAGGTCTGGCTCACTGTCCTCTTCATCTTCCGCATGCTTGTGCTGGGCACAGCTGCCGAGTCTTCCTGGGGGGATGAGCAGGCTGATTTCCAGTGTGATACCATGCAGCCAGGCTGTGAGAATGTCTGCTACGACCAAGCCTTCCCCATCTCCCACATTCGCTACTGGGTGCTGCAAATCATCTTCGTCTCCACGCCATCTCTGGTGTACATGGGCCACGCCATGCACATGGTGCGCATGCAGGAGAAGCGGAAGTTAAGGGAGGCCGAGAGGGCCAAAGAGGTCCAGGGTTCTGGCTCTTATGAGTACCCAGTGGCTGAGAAGACAGAGCTATCCTGCTGGAGAGAAGTGAACGGAAAGATTGTCCTCCAGGGCACTCTGCTCAACACCTATGTCTGCAGCATCCTGATCCGCACTACTATGGAGGTGGCCTTCATTGTGGGCCAGTACCTCCTCTACGGGATCTTCCTGGACACCCTACATGTCTGCCGCAGGAGTCCCTGCCCCCACCCGGTCAACTGTTATGTATCCCGGCCCACAGAAAAGAATGTCTTCATTGTCTTTATGCTGGCTGTGGCTGGACTGTCCCTCTTCCTCAGCTTGGCTGAACTCTATCACTTGGGCTGGAAGAAGATCAGACATCGATTTGTCAAGTCACAGCATGGTATGACAGAGTCTCAGCTTCCTGGCCCCTCTGCAGGCATGGCCCATAGCTGCACACCACCCCCTGATTTCAATCAGTGCCTGGAGAATGGCCCTGGAGGGAAGTTCTTCAACCCCTTCAGTAACAAGATGGCCTCCCAGCAGAACACAGATAACTTGGCCACTGAGCAAGTGCAAGGCCAGGAGGAGATTCCGGGGGAGGGTTTCATCCACATCCGCTATGCCCAGAGGCCAGAGGTACCCAATGGAGTCTCCCCAGGTCACCGCCTCCCCCATGGCTACCATAATGACAAGCGCCGCCTCAGCAAGGCCAGCAGCAAGGCCAGGTCAGATGATCTATCAGTGTGACCCTCCAGTGTGGGGGGACCAGGACCAGATGGGAACAAAGAAGGGTCAGAGAGGGGAGATATGTCCCTTCTGATCCCATGCTCTCTCATTCTCTTCACTGCTCTGCTTTTCTCAGTCGCCTGGTCTCAATGTGTTGTGGGTTGAATTGTGTCCCCCCAAAATATGTTTTAAATCCTAACCTCTATGCCTGTGGTTTTATTAACCTCATTTGGGAAGCGGTTGTGTTTGTTATGTTAATGAGGCAGGATTAGTGTAGGGTATATCTTGAGTCAATCTCTTTTGAGGTATAAAAGAGATTAAACAAGGGAGCAGGGCAGAGATGGGAGGAGAGAGATGCCAAGCTACATGATCTCCCAGGAGCAGAATCTCAAAGAGACAAAGACCTTCCTCCAAAGCCCACAGAGAGAGAGAGAGCCTTCCTCTACAGCCGGCATCCTGAATTTGGACTTCTAGCCTCCTAAACTGTTCACCAAGGACGTGGCTACACAATCTTTTGTTAAAGAGATTAAGCTTGTAACCCATAAGGTGGATCTAACTAACTACCACAGCAGAAAACCCATCAGCTTACACTGAAGGGGGCAGAGAAAGAATGAAAGGAAAGAACGCTGTCTGCCCCTTGGAATTCTACAGACAGGAAACAGACCAAAGGCACTACATCTGTTATCCTCCAAGAAGAGCCATCCACTTGTGGTATTTCTGTTCTATCAGCACTAGATAGCTAAGACACAATGACATTGCTCATTTATTCCAGGAGGTATGACCAGGGCTCCATAGGTGAAGTCAGAGACATGGGTACCCACCCAGGTTGCTATGCCCTTCTCATCCTCTACCCAGGATACTTAGCGAGGCCTTTTCAGATTACTCAATGAATAGGACAGAAGACAGGAAGGGAAGTTTGGCAAAATCTGGCCTGAGAGGGATAGCTGGAGTGATAGAATAAATCTCTACATATCAGCAACTTACCAGATGTGTCCTCCCAAGTCTGTAGGACTGCCCTAATCACCACCCCCTAACCCCACCAAGAAAGAGCCCAAAGTTCCCAGCCAATAGAGAATGTGAATCAAGGAACTTGGATTAGATGTGCTCTTGAATCTATTGTCTCCATGGGCCGTAACTGCGGTGGCATTTGGCTGCCCTTGCTGTCCCTCCTTCTGCCCAGTCTTAAAAAAGGGTCTTTAGAACTTGACCAGCAGCCTCAACTTTACAAGTCCTTCAGTATGTACCTCTGGCAAATGTCCCACCTTGGTGACGTTGCAGCCTTTCCTTCTGCCCGGGTGTACACCCAGTCCATAGGGGTGCCAGCTCCTCCAGAGAGTCATTGCTCACTGACACCAGTGGAATTCCTACCACCACCTGACATACTGTGGCTCCAACCTGATGATAGAAACCACCCCTTCCATTCCTCCACCTTTGGCTGTTCACCAATGCTCCCCAAAAGACTTTATGGACAGGAATGCCCAAGAAGCGGTCGTCCTTCCTGGGATCCTGACCAGATCCCCAGCCACTGAGGCCAGTAGAATTTCTGCAGGTCTTATTAAAACAAAGAGGGCATTATGCTTCTCAGAGGTAGATTCCCCTTGGAAGAAAATAACTCTGTTGTGAGGATGAAAATTTAAAAGGAGAGAAAACACTGGAAAACTATTTTTCCCTCCTATTTATTTCCCTTGCTGGCTGCCAACTTAGAGTGAGGAGGAGGTGTAATGACAGCTATGGAGGCCTCCAGATAGATCTCTCTCCCTGGAGGGTTTAGCAGGGATGTGGAAGCAGTAGGGGAATCTTCAGTTCTCTTGGCAGGGGCCTTACTTAAAGGCATGGAGATTCTGAGATCTCACTGGTGCCCTAGTGAGACTGCCAAGTGGGAGCTATAGAAAAACTCTCCCTTCTCCAGGGATGGGCCAGCTTTTACTATTCAGTCCATTCAAAATGGGTGTCTCCCATTTTGGACGGAGGTAAAGGATGCTCAGAATCGGATACTGAGTCTTACAGAGAGATTACTTTTTAAAATTGCTTGTGTGTGCGTGTGTGTGTGTGTATACGTGTGTGCGTGCATGTGCACATGCTGAGAGGGTAGGTGAAGGGGAGGGGGGTCCTAAAATTAGGAAAGGAAAGCTTACAGAAGCTAGTGTCTTCCTGTCCTCCCCTTCAGCTGCCTGGTGGAGGGGCTGAGCCTCACTGCCTCTGTGTCATCAACCTAAACTGATAGACCTGAGAGGTCAGGACAGAGGACGGTGAAGGCTCAGAAGGGGCTCAGCCTCTGCTCCACCTGCCCATCTCCCGGCCCCTCTTTGCTGATATTTGGATGCTACTGGTGGGTGGGGAGGAGGAGGGTTGAGAGGTGGAGGGAGGAAAGAATGACTGGTCATTTCAGGTTCCTGGAGGGAGACACCTTTTTTTTATCTATTGCCTAGCACTACTAACAGTAAGACTCTTCTACCTCTGAAATGTGTATGTTCTGTGAAATGTGTGCTCTTGAATTAGAAAGTCTATGAGATCACTCCTTGACTCACTGTCAAGAGACTTTCAGGAAAGAAAAAGGAAGTATGTGTAATTTGTCTTAATAAAGTCTGGCCCTACATCTGTCTCTTTTTTGTGTTCCTTTCATGCTGTGACTACAAGAGAAGGAGGTCAGTGGGGGACGGGAGCACTCAAACCCCACCCATCAGTCAGTAATGGAAAGAACTTCGGAGTCATATGTGCAAGGATTAAAATCCAAGCTGCTGAGTCACTGCTTGACATCGGCAAGCAACTTAATCTCTGAGCTTTGGTTTCCTCATCTGTAAATTGGGCCTAGTAATACCTACCTTATAAAATGAAACCCATCGCCGTTGAGTCGATTCCATAGTGACTGTATAGGACAGGGTAGAACTACCCCATAGAGTTTCCAAGGAGCGCCTGGTGGATTTGAACTGCTGACCTTTTGGTTAACAGCCATAGCACTTAATCACTACACCACCAGGGTTTCCATCTACCTTGTAGTGTTGTTAAATGAGAGATTGTTCAGCAGAGATCCTGGGATATAATAGTCTGTCATTAAACGGTGCTTGTTTTTATCACTATTATTATTATGTTTGTTATTATGTTACATACACAGTATTCAAATACCTAGAATGTTGAGAAAGGTTCTAGAATTTTCCGTGATAGAGCTCACAATCCAGCTGAGGCAATCAAATTAACCCACATAAAGGAAAGAATTAAAATAGAATTAAGTGGGAATTCATTTCCTACTGAGGCTAAGAACCATAAGGCTCTAGGAAGTAACATATACGGAAAGAAGAAACACATAAAAGAGGACAGATCTGACCTGGGCCTTAAAGAGTGACTAAGGCTTTAGAGGGATGGAGACCCCAAGGATGACTCTGTGAAATAAGTCTTGGTGTCCTCATTTTACAGACATGGAAACTGAGGCCCTGGAAGTTCCCCTGACAGGGGCAGATGTTCACTGGCCTCTGAGAGGGGCCACTTCTCTTTGGAAAAGGAGAAATGATTCTTGATCCAATAAAGTCAGGGGACCACCCACCTCTTCATCAATAAACGGAATGCCATTTCCTAGAGAAAGAGGTAAAGGCTGGGAAAAACCAACACAAGTATTGTCTTAACTATCAATTGGTCTTGTTTATCAGGACAGAAAAGCTCTCTTAAAGAGGCCTTGTAAATTGATCTAGAACACGTGACTCAGATGTTGAGACTCAGGGTGCACCTGGCGTCTGTCCAAAGGTAAGGTGCTCAGTCCAGAGGTGCCTGAGTAGTCCAACAGGAAAAAGCGTCTGGGACCCATTTTTTTTCCTTCTAGAAAAAAAGCAGTGCAATTCATAGTTTTGAAAACATAGCTATTAGCATTTAACGGTTTATATTATACTCAGACTGAAAAAGTCAAGGGACTTATTTTATAATGAGTAAGATTTCAACCTGAGGTATCTATTCTCATTTTCTCTTCCTTCTCCTGCCCCCCACCCCCAGAAAGGGTCATCACTAAAGAGGGTCAACACATTCCAGGTTGTAAGCCCTTCAAATCCCCTTCCTTAATTTCCTTCTTCTGATGATAGGTGAGATCAGAATATCTACCACTGGTGTTTCATTCCTATGGCTAGCGTTTAAATGGTTAAACTAATAATACTCCTAAGAAGGATCACAGTAGGAATGAGTTTGGGATTTTTTTTCCTAATAGTAAATTTTGATATCAGAGAGAAAAACAAAAGAACAAGGGTACTAAGCACCTTGCAGGTGTCCTGAGGAGCCCTTGAGTGGGGCAAACAGTTAACTGAAAGGTTAACTTGACTGCTAACTGAAAGGTTGGCAGTTTGAGTCTACCCATAGGTGCCTCAGAAGAAGGGCCTGGCGATTTACTTCCAAGAAATTGGCTATTGAAAACCCTACAGAGCACAGTTCTACTATGACACATGTGGGGTTGCCATGAGACAGAATTGACTTGATGGCAACTGGTTGGTTAGCTGTCTTGAATGATTACTTTCATAATGTGGAAATGAGGAAAACAGGGAGGTTGGAGGGAGATGCCAAAGATAAGCTGCCCACTTGCCAATCACTGGTAGATCCTGGAATCCCCTGCAGGGGTCCTTTTACTGGTCCTTGATAAAAACAGGATTTTCAAACGCTAGGTATGTAAATAAACTAAGATTAGTGCTTTTTCCTCTTGGTCACCTGATTATCAGTTGTTGCTTCAACTGGAAAAGAGAAAAACTTCCATTCAACAAACATTTATTAAGCACCCGCTTTGAGTTAGGCACTATGTTAGACTTTGGCAGCACAATTTAATAAAACAGAGGGCCCTGTCTCTTGGAGCTTACAGTCTAGTAGGGAAGATAACCCAATACAAGTAAACAAACAAAATAATTACAGATTGTGATAGGTGCCATCAAGGAAACAAATAGGAGGCTAACAAAGGTAGAGGTAAGGGCTTTCTTCAGATAGTGTGAGCACTTTCTGAGGAGTTAACATGTAAGCTGAGATCTGAGAAGAAGCCAGCCACTGAGGAGTAGAAGAACCCAGGTGGGGAAACCCAAATATTTTCCAGGAAGCTCCAGAATACACCATCCCTTGCCTCCTTCTGGTCCAACATTTTGGAAAGACAGAATTCAGGCAGCAACCAGATGGCACCTAAAACAACACTGTTTTT